ATCTCGAAAAAACAAACAAAAAAAATTTTTAAAACATTTCAGACTACGCCCAGAATGTGCACAAGGCTTAGTATATGCTAGTTCTTTTTTATTTTTATGTTTTGAGACAAAGTCTTGCTATATATGTAGCTCAGGCTGGTCTGGAACTTGTAGGAATCCTCCTGCCTCAGCCTCCCAAGTGATGATATTATTACATGAAGCATATGTTAGCTATTAATTGTCAGATGAGAGAGGTAGATTAGGGGCCAGTGAGAGAGATGCTTCCATGGTTGATAGGGCTGTTGGGTTGCAAGGTTTGGAGTCAGCAAGACAGTGAACACGGAGTGAGGTTATAGGGACTTTAGTCCCGGTTCCTGGAGCTTGTAACTTTGAGTACATTCTATAACCACTACTGGGTGTCTGCTTGCTCTTGATGGCCTCTTCCAAATTCTACATTGTAAAGTGATGTGAAGGAGTTGCACTGGTGGTCATGAGCATGGAAAGAAAGGAAAGATTATGCCTGCATGGTGACTGGAGAGAGACGGGAACACCACATAAAATTCCAGAGCTTGAACCCAAATGAGGAGGTTGAAAGGGTGGGTCTGGAGCGAAGAAAGGCTATTTAGGTTTGAGCATGCTAGAGTGGTGGAGGGGGGGAGAGGGAGGGAGGGAAAGAGAGACATTCTAGTAGAAATAACTGTCTAGAAAACGGTTAAAATGCAGACCTGTATCATGGGACAATTTAAAGTGTGCTGATTGGAAAACATGAGGAATGTCACCAACTCCTCTCTGTGACTCAGTGATCTACCTCTGCTCCGGAGAGCTAGACACCTAGAACATGACCCCGATGGCTAGAAGAAATACCGATGCAAGTCAAGGTGGTGAAAGGAAATGCCAGAAGTGATACAAAGAGCAGTTTGGTCTCCAGGGCCCTGGGGCTAGCACACAGGCAGACGTGAAGGAAATATTCACAAGAGGTTGGCCAGTTGAAGGTAGGAGCTTGGTGCTGGGTCTTTGCATCAGATGTAGGCCCTAGCCCTGGTGGAGACTAACCCACTTCCCAGAGTTTTTTAGTTTTCTTCTCTTCTCACATCTTGTACTGCCCAGTTGCCATATATTCCCCATCCTGCTCTCTGGAGTTAAGAAATTCTGTTGTATAGTTTATATGTGTCAAGTAAAAGAACGCTGGCTTTGAAGAGTAGTTGCAGTAGGTTGCATTTCGCCTAGCTTTCCAGTTAGGAGCCAAGACCTAGGAACTGACAGGAGTATTTGTGAAAACTCCAATTTACCATTCACTGTCAACGACAGTTCTCGATGGTCTCTGGAAGAACGAGCAGAGTGAGGGTGACCAGTGTCGGATAGGATGCAGTAGTGGTTAACAATGGTGGCAATGACATTGCTGTGGTGGCATTGCCAGGCAGCCACAGATTTCCAAAGTGATTAGCAAGAACTGTTCACAAAAAGATGCTAAGACCCTGTAGTAAGATATTGTCTATTTTACAACATCTGTAAAGTGGGGATTTCCGATGACCTAGTGTCTGTGGGAAATCTTGACCATACTAGGCAATTAATTCATTCAGCCATCAGTGATGAGCTCAGGTTCCCAGAGCCAGGATAGCAGGGAGCTCCTGAAATAACAAGTATTTTATATCTATGGCCTTCAGTTAAAGGACTAAATATTGGGAGGAAAAGGGGGAATCATATGAATTGGGCCTTGTATCATGCCAAAACAGATGGGAATTCAAGCTTGTGAAAAATCTTAAGCCAAACTCCTTGGCTGCCCAAATGCAAGCACTTTGTTTGTTTTGCCTTCTAGGCCATTCTCTGGTATAATACTTTAGGAGTCGACTACCCTGGGACTCAGGGACCAGTCTCCCTCCTGAGTTTGAAGCCAGCCTATTTAAATGGCAACACTTATAAAACCATCATATTAACTAGAGATTAAGTTTCCCAAGTGTCTTCCCACCACCTTCCTTGAATCCTGGCAGGACAAGTGTTTGTCCATATACTTTTCCATCCAGGATTTCTATCAAGTGCTGTCATTTCTTAGCTGAGTCTAGTTCGGTCCTGAGACCAGTTTTTATTTCAGTACTCTCAGGCACTAGGCCAAATGACCCACAGAAGGCTGATAAAGACTCATTGACCTAGGCACAGGAAGGGAAAGGGAGGCAAAGGTCATTTCTGGGTAGTTCTAAAATAAATCTTTTCCTGTTTGTCCCCGACCTTTGGACAACCTCTTGAGTTGACCTACTGTGTGCGTGGGAGGGGGAGGGGGGTCAAAAGAACTCTTTAGCCAGCTGCAGGGACTTAGTTAGATTACCTTCTGGGCCTATTTCCTTCTTTACCAATAAGTAAATAATTTCAGTTGTGGCTGTCTAGGATGCTATGCACCTAGCTCGGCTAGTTTGAAAGCTGAAGTATCTTCCCTGGTCTTCTCTTGTCATGGACAGAGGTTCAGCTTCTTTTAAAACCATAGACTAATTCTGATTCAATTGCATACCTAAGTGGTTGGACTTGGATCGGCTCCCATTTTCCAGGAGACACAAAGCACAATAATGTGTAATCCTAAAATCTAGACATCACTCTCTCAGGGCAGAGCCGGGGACATGCCAACTCATAGAGGAATGCCTGGGGAAAGCACGTCTGGGGTTTTAACCATGTTATGTGGAGGGCACGTAGGCCTGGGATTTCTAAATATGAAACTTCTGGGAAACAGTAGGTGGGAGCTAGGATGCAAAGTGGGAGGAGACAGACAGCTGTAAACTAACTACTGAAAGCAAGTATTGAGTTTAAAAGCAAACTGGACACAAACCACTAATGGTCTGAGACCAGAGAAACCAACATTGGAATAGTGTAAGCCAGCTCACTGTGCACACAGGAGGCAATCTTGTCCCCTGTCCCAGCTGTTCCAGCCCTATAGCAGCTCCTGTAGAGTTTTCTTTGGCTCAGAGAAGCAGAGGCCTCCCCTGAGCCCAGGCCCCCCTCTACCGCAGGGCAACTGGCTTCCATTACCCCTGACAGCTCCAGAGCGACAGTCCAGCCCCTGGCCCTGTCTGGCTCAACATCGTTCCCTTTTATGGTGAAGCTAAGGAGAAAGCAAGAAGGGAGAAACCCACTTCTAGTTGTAGAGACTCAGGGTGCTGCTCCCCTCACCAGTGACCCTCGATATGATATCTGGATGCCTATTGCACTTCTTCACCACAAACCCACGACCCCTCTTGGCTTGTCCCAGCCCTTCCTTTCCTACCCCCTCCTTCACATCCGGGGGGTGATTTCCCACTTGGCCGAGGTCCCAAGTTTGGTTTTTGATTATGAGAGAGTCCACCCTAATTCCGACGCCCACCTCCAGGAGTGGGGTGGAGACTGGGAGCCGGCCTGAGACTGGCACTGATCAAGTAAGTTGTCATGGTCCGCCCTTTTGGTAGGATGTGGTTTCAGAAAGACTAGCACCCTGAGGGTACCAGCATCCTCAATCCTGTCCCCATTCTACATCACGTTCCACTCCATCCCCACGCCAGCGAGCCTGGGAGGGGACCGGGAGGGCAGGATCCAAAGGAAGCACCTGGCTGGGTCGGGCAGGGAAGCGAAGGGTGGGCAGCATGAAGAAAAGTAGGTCGGAGGGCAGCCTCCCGCCTGCTGCACCCTTGCCCAAAACTACTCCTGGGCTCCCGGGAGGCTGTCGCCACAGCTTCGCAAGCTAACCGCAGATCCTGCTGCGCCAGCTGCGGCCAGCTGCGACCGGGAGAGTCGGGGGGAGAGTCGGGATCCCGGCCAGCTGCGACCGGGGGGCGGGATCCCGGCCGGTGTCCCGCCTCTGCCCATGCCCTACTCCGCCCTCGCGGTGGGACGGCCCTTCTAGGCTCCGCCCAAGACCCGATCTTTGTGCGCGCGCCGCCGGAGCAGACGAGACGGCAGGGTAGAGAAGCCGGAAGTGCCCGCGTTGTTCCTCAGCTAGCACTACGAAGTTCCTGCTCTGGTCGCCTACCTCGAGTTTGTGCGGCAGTAGTGTCGAAGTCGGGTGGTCAGGTGAGAGGCTCGCAGGCGCCGTTTCACGGGCGAGCCCGGCGGATGCTGGATCGTAGTGGCAAGATCTGGCCTGGTGAGAGAGCAAGGAGTGCGCGAACACAGGCTGAGTCCTTCCCCTTGTCCATAGGATGATCACGGACGTGCAGCTCGCCATCTTCGCCAACATGCTGGGCGTGTCGCTTTTCTTGCTTGTGGTCCTCTATCACTACGTGGCAGTAAACAACCCCAAGAAGCAGGAATGAAAGTGGCGCTTTCTCCGCCCCAGGTAACGGTCGGGGCAGTAGCGCTCAGACTCTAGTCTGAGTGAGGCCGATCCAAGGCCTGCAGACTTAGGGACTTCAAGTAAGAAAGTGTCGAGCCAAGCTTGTCAGTCCAGAACTGAGCCCCTCCGTTCGTATTGTGTACAGTGCCTTGAAATATTCTGCTTCGGTTCCCTTGAACGGCTTACTATTTGAATGAGGATGGATTTTCAGAGCCTTCCTCATTCCCCATTTTGAGGTTTCCAGTAGATAGAGGCCCAAGTTATAGGGTATGGTGACACGGAGGCGCTGAGACCAGTACAGACAAAGGCAGTAACTGCCAAGTATGGGGGAATCAAGCCCTTAACAGCCCCACTTTCCCACGGAACCTGAGGCGTTATTTAGGAAGATTTTGGGGAAGGGCGTGGTAGTGAAAGATGTAAACTTATTTCCATGTTCTGAAGCCAAGGACTTTGTTTTATGAGTTAATTACAAATAGAAAGAATAGAGAAAAAAGGGGGCAGAGTCTAGAAACCAAGTGTGCTTATGTAATATAAAGGGAATGGTTAGATGGGGCTGGCTCCTTAAGGACCTCCCCCAGCCCCACAAGGAAGCTGCAGCATTTTCCTTACTTCGGATCTTTCCCCTTTTTTCTAGGGTTCCAGGACATAGTCTGAGGCAAGATGGAGGGTGTGAGGGGCCTTCACACTTCACTTCATCTCTCCTACCCATCACAGCATACAAAGCAACTCCACCTGGATTTTTCCAAACAACTTTTATTTCCTCAAAGTCTTCCTTAACCCTATGGAGCAAGAAGCTGCCACTGAATAGGGCCCAATAGGGGCTGCTTTCTTTTCTACTCCCTCCCCCCAATACAAAAATATAGATATATATATATTTTTTGTGGTCCCAAAATCTTGTGCTGTGGAGGGAGGGAAGGGGTTGGCAGGTCCCTGTTTTGTTCTGTCTCAAGGTGATGTTCTGCAAGGCCTCGGACAGTGTGGCCGACATTCCAAGGAGCTATGGTTGTCACATGGTACCAGCAGCTGGAAGACGGGACTAAGGTATCATTTCACTGTGTTCCCTCACTTAGGGCTCTATCCTGGACACGGAGGTAAAGGCATTATCAGACCCTGGGAGAGATAGTGAGTGGTGGAGATTTAGGGACACAACAAACCTCACATTGGTTCAAGAGCCCCCTGCTGTAACAAATCCGGGATGGGGAGTCAGATAGAGTACAGGAGATAGGAGAAAAGGCGGGGGCAGAGCGGGGCCGTGGGGGGCCGGCCTGAGGCAGCCTGCAACAGAGAAGAGACAGGAAGTCAGGGTTGTGGAAACAGCCCCCTTTTTCTGGTCTGTTAGCCAGGGGCTTGGAGGTGAAAAGGGAAATGTGAAGCTGGGTAGGGAGAGGCAGATTTATTAGTGCCTGTTACTAGAATCATCTGGCTAGTGCCTTGAGAGACTAATTTAGAAGTTATCCTTTGAAGTGAAGACTGAGGCCATGGTACAATAAAAATCAGGGACTAGAGTCTTAGTGAAAGTGCATTTAGTCTTTGGGATCAATGAAAAAGGAGAAGATTATCCTGAATGCTGAAATGGGGGTGAAGGAATAGTAGAAATGAGGGTTGGAATGAAGGACTGGACTCCGGTGCTCACCCTGGTGTAGCAGAGTGGGGTCCCGGCTCCAGCTCACTGATCTCTCTGGTCTGGGGGCTGGGGGATGTGGGGCTTGAGCCTCTCATCCCTCTGCGAGTCGGCGGTGAGCTCCGGCCCAACCTGGGCCTAGCCTGTGTGGACAGGGGTACACTAAGAAGTTGGCTTCTTCCACGAGGCTTTTCTGCTTTTAGAGTGTCCGTGCTTAAGAATCTAGTACAGAAGTCAGCAGAGGTGCTAGGACCCTGAATTCCTGGGCACTGCTCCTAACTGAGATGATGAGACAGGGTGGCAGCTATAGAGCTTCAGACTCAATTTAGGACAGCATACCAGTCTTACTTATCTAAGGGTGGCAAAAGGACCCAGCATTTCACTTCCATGGGTATCCATGGCTAAGAGGTGGCTGGGTAGAGAAGCACTATGAAGAAAGATGGTAGGGGACTGGCAGATACCCTCCGCTTTCTCAGCCTCCGCCCCTGCCAGAGCAGCTTAAGCTCTACCCGTCCAGCCAGCTTCTGCCTCTGTCTAGCTACAGTCAGACTAGGAAGGGAGGTGTGTCTGAGTTCGAGGTGACGATAGAGTTGTTACTAGGAGCAGTAACCAGATGTGTTACCTGGGGAATCCGGGACCCCTCCTGGCGGAAACTCTCCTCTGGCAGGTCTGGTCAGAAAGAGAGGAGAAGCTAAGGACGGGTAGGAAAGCCAAAGCTATCAGGCTGTGGTTGGGGTGCATCTGGCAGGGACAATGGAGTCTGAAGCAAGCAAGAAACCTGGCTGATTAGGACTGGGAAGGTTAACACACAGATACCACAGCAACTCTTGACAGGCTGGTTATAAAAGGCTGTAAAGCAGGAATGAGCATTCATTCCCCCTCCCACCCTGCCCCCCAGTGTTCAGACTAGTGTCTTGCTGGGTTCTGCTAATGCTAAGGACATGGAAAGACCCCAAAAATTTTACCTGCAAACGAGTTCTAATGCAGGGGATCCGAGCACCAGCCCCTAGGAGACTTTTCCCAATCACCATGACAGCCTCTGGCTTGTCCCCTGAAGACGAGAATGGGCAGCTGCTCCCTAGAGAACAGAGGGAACTGATCATCAAGGCAGGGCTAGAGAGAAGGTAACTTCATTTACATTGATTTCTTGGCCTTGTTTCGTTCCCTTTATGGTGCTGGGTATTAAACCTAGGATTTCTTGCTAAGCCAGTACTCAGTGCTCAATCTCTGAGCTATGCCAGCAGCCCTTACCCTCGGCATCACTGAAAAATTGGCAGTACAATCATTTATTGTTGGTGATTCTGTGTGTGAAACTGCAACCTTTGGTGAAAATCAAACCTTCAGGCTTAGCTCAATTTGTAAACCTTAGAGCTTACACCAATCATGTTTAGGCATTGAGGAGTAAAGTCCAGCTGGGCATAGTGGCATGCCTTTAATCCCAGCATTCCAGAGACAGAAACAGGGAGATCTCTTTGAGTTCAAGGCCAACTGGTCTACATAATGAGTTCTAAGACATCCAGGGCTACACAGACCTTGTCTCCAAAGGAGAAAGAAAACAAAAAACCCCAAGTCCATTCTGTACAACTGATTAAAAACGGATAGATTGGTACAGTATATGTGGATTCAATTACAGGAAACAATCCTGCCAGGCGTGGTGGTGGATGCCTCTAATTTCAGCACTCAAGAGCCAGAGGCTGGTGGGTTTGTGACCAGCCTGATCTACAAAGAGAAACCCTGTTTCAGAAACAAGAAAGAAAAAGAAAAACAATCCCATTTAGTTCCTTATATTGCTGGATCTCTAACGTATGTGTTTGTAGTAATGACAGGTGAAAAGCCTGTGATTTTACCCACCATTCCTAGCTCTTGGAATTGGGGAACTTGGGTAAGTGCACTTTGCAGGTAGAAAAAGTCCTCAGGTCTTGAACTGTGAAAATGAGGACTAGACAGTCCAGAGCAGTGCCTGCACAGAGTGAGCACTCAGTGTGTTAGCTCTTACTTTATTTTACAAGTTCATTTCACTGACCCCCAGCCTCCTATGCCAAAGCCCATGTCAGGAGCATGAGGGACCAGCAGAGTAGCACCTGGTCTGAAGTGGCCTGTATATATATGGCAGGTCAAAAAGAAGTCCAGGCTAAGTAGCAGTATGGCTGAAGAAGTTTCTTCTTGAAGCTTAGGTAGTAGCCTGTCTAAGCCCTGGGTGGTAGGTAAGGGAAGAAGCTGGGCAACTGAGGATTCAGGGGCAGTGGGTACCGACCTGATAAGCTGAGTGAATTGGGCAGGAGGCAGGAGCCCATGTTTCGTGAGGAGGTTGGGCCAGAACTAGCCAGAGTTGGGGATGGGGCCAGGCTGCTTGTGGTAGGGCGATGGTTCAGTGGCTGCTGCCGCCGCCTTCTGTCTGGGCATCGGGGCTCTGAGTGGAAAGGACATAAGCAGGGAAAAGATCAAAAAAATGAGACAGTATAAGACAGGCTTTGCTGCCCTGCTTCCCTCGGCCAGGCATGGTCAGGAGCCTGTTCTCAAGCTCTCAATAAATTAGCTACCCACCCTGTGAAACATCTAATATTCCAGTTATCCCCACCCCGTGAGACATCTAATATTCCAGTCATCTGTATCTCATCCTACCAGTTAGTTAAAAAAAAGTAACTGAGCTTGGCTTCTAAAACGTGGCTTGCAGAGCTTTTTTCTTACCTTTAACTGTCCCTCTTCTCACTGATGTTCCTCCCACTTAAGGACCAGTGTCTCCAGCCATCTGGCCTTGGTCTTCTCTCTTAAATCTCTAAGGCCCTTTTCTCCCAGAATGTCTTTTGCCAGACATTTCTTCCTGTTAAGTCCCTGATTGCCAAACCAAGTCTGTTTGCTCCCCCAGTCTGTCCCTTGTCCCTGTATGCTAGAAAGCTTACTTCATTTTCCTGTTCCTCCCTTGCATTTGTTTAGTCAGATCCTAATGGTTCCTCCTTTGCAGTGGACTCTAGATACAGCTCTGTTCACTCTCACTGTCCTTTTTCCCTCAGCTTGACTTAAAAAAATTATTCATCCCTTACATAGGTGCCACCAAGTTATTATCCTAAAGTAGAAGCCTGGTTTTAAAAAAATCACTGTGGCTTAGGTAAGGGAGAAACAATTTGTAGACAGATTCTTACTATGTCACCCAGACTTTCCTCTTTATATATAACTTAGGCTAGACCTGAACTCTTGGTCTTCCTGCCAAGCATCCCTCCCAAAGGCTTGGACTGTATGCATGCATTACTACATGTGGCTAAATTCTGAAGGTCTTTTTTTTTTCTTTTAGATTTATTTATTTTATATGAGTACACCACAGACACACCAGAAGAGGGCATCAGATCTTATTACAGATGGTTGTGAGACACCATGTGGTTGCTGGGAATTGAACTCAGGACCTCTGAAAGAGCAGTCAGTAGTCTTAACTGCTGAGCCATCTCTCCAGCCCAAATTCTGGGGGTTAAAGATAGTGTACTCAAACCCTTTCAACGTAGGCCATCCAGAGTCCTGTCTGTTGTGTCTCCAGGCCTGTCATTAAGATGCTGACTTGATCACTCATACCTCAGCCACTGTTGCTATGAGCTCTGTGGGTCCTTTCAAATGTCAGTTTCTCTTTTTAGAGAATTCTTTGATTATCTTCCATGTTCTGTCTCAAATGTCAGCTCCCTGTAAATGTTGCCTTGGCCAATCTCAGGCAGAATTAGTTCTCAGCACCCTTTTTTTTTTTTTTTTTCTTCACATGGCCAGAAGTTGTTTATAAACACCTCTTAAAGTTTAAGGGCATACTTAACTTTTAGGGGTAGTACTCTGATGTATCCTTTGGCTGGACCTTTACAAGTTCTAAAGGATGGGATTCCAGAGAGACAGATGGTGACTGGATGGGATAGGGGAATTGCAGGTTCAGCAGCCAGATACTTTTAGATCATAGAACCAGATAAAATGGTGATGTCAATAGTCTAGATGTCCTCTGATACAAGCTATGTTTGTTAGGCATGAAAAGCCTAGCTTTGGAAGCTAGTAACAGCAACTTCATCTTGCCTGTAGTGGATTTTAGCAGGCAGTGCCAGGCATGTGCATGACAGGACAAGCCTGTAATCCCAGCATGCAGAAGTGGTAGCAAGGGGATCACAAGTTCTAGGCCAGCTTAATGCTTAATGAGTCTCTGTTTCAAAGAGTAATTCTGAAGTCTCTAAGTTGAAGTTATCTATAATGAATCTCAAAATGAATGATGCTCTTAGGATGGAAGCCTTTCTGGCTAAGTGACATTGCACTGGATACCAAGTGCAGTCTAAGGTGGAGAGCAAAGAGCACAAAACCAGAGCTTAGTGGGCAATGGGAGTTAGCTGAAACACTGATACGACATCAGAAGTCAGAGAGACTTGTGGCCACACCAACTGAAACATGAGCCACCATCAGTGACTCAGTGGTCCTCAAGTATACAGACCTGGTAATTCTGATTAAAATGTAGATAGAGAAGCATGTCTCTTGGGACTGAATGTATACCTATAATCCCAGAGGTGGGCAAATCTCTTGAGTTTAAAACCAACCTGATCTACAATAAGTTATAGATTAACCAGGGTTATATAGTGCGACTTTGCCACAAAAATAAAAGCATGTTCCTCAGTACAGAAGACAGAAATAATAGGGTTTGCAGATGATCAGAGTCTATACACAGGCAAGCTGAAATCATGCAAATGGGCTGAACCTTCTTCACCTTACCCTGAGGAAGGAGGTAATAACCAAGTGACTGGGGCTATGCTACTGCACGCCTGTAATCCCAGCACCTCGAAGCTAGAAGCAGGAAGAAGGAATTCAAGGCCGGTTGTCTACCATGAGTTTTGAGTCCAACTTGGGCTATATGAGATATTCTCTCTCTGTCTCTCTGTCTCTGTCTCTCTCTCACACACAGTGATTAAAGCTTTTGATGAAGCAAACCAGACAAAAGATAAAGAGACAAAAAAGTCAGTACAGAGTGGAAACTAGATCCTGAGAAAGACAACAAACCTCAAGCTCGGGAATCTTGTCCCTCATCAGATTGCTCTGAGAAACATAAGGTATAAAACATAGTATATTTCAATCAATTTCTTAAAGACTGCCTTAAAACCTGCCTGGGCCTTCCTCTTAATTGTCAATGAAGACACACAGTTGGCTCACTTTTGTGTTTTGACTTTGCCTCCTATTAAATACAGGCCTTACTCCATTCCTGTAGAGAGGATAAAAGGGACCAGGACCACGACAGTGTGATGCTGAGTGCAGAGCTTCCAAAGGCAGTAAGATGGTACTCACTGTAGCAAGAGGGACTGGCAGGAGACGAGTGGAGCCGTGCTCTGCTAAGGTGAGCCAGCGCGCCCCACCTGGAATGTGCTGGGATTTGTGTTCTGAGCCTTACTTAGAACCTAAAGCCTCAGAGTTGGCAGTGTTAATCTACTGCTTTATACCTAGACTCTACATTATCTCTCCAAAATGTCTTTGGGACATCTTTCCCTGTAGATCTTATTGAATCCTTTCCTTGAATGGTCACACAGCTGGCTTTTATAACCCAACAAGGATTAGAAAGATTAGATAAGCATTAACTTGACTCCTAACCAAACTTTTTAGTGTTTACTGAACACTGAAGTGCTGGGCACAGTGCTAGGACGTATTGTTGGGGGAATACTGCCCGACACTGTTTGCAGCTGAAAGAATAGAAAGTGGCAGTGGTGGTCAAGACAGCAAGTCCTATGGACTCCCTCCAGAGGAACCTAGTCTACCCAAAGTGGACCATTAATGGAGTCAAGGCATAGGCCAGAGACGTGCTAGTCCAGCTGAAGTGACAGTTACAGTGGGAGGAGAGGGTCCTGAGAGAGGAAGACAAAGGCCCTGCCTTCAGACATAGTGCCTCATCTCTCACATCCGTCTGTGGCTAGGCTGAAGGGTCAAGATGAGGGTCATGCAAATGAGATCTCGAAAAGTTAGAACTGAAGGATGTTGCTGTGTGATCATGGAGTTGTGTGTGCTGGGTGTCTTTCTTGAGTATGTCTAATGTACAGGAGAGGCTGCCTTGTCATGCTGACCCCCCCATCCTTCCTGCCAGCTGTTCACCTCTGCTCTTGCAGTGCCATGCATGCCTCTGACTTTCCTCACTTCTGTATTGTTCTCCAGTGACACAGCAGCTAGCACAGCTACTGCTATCGGTTCCTACAGATCTGGGGAGGTAGGCAGAGCATGCTTTGCAGCTGGGGAGAGTCAGGTAGACTGCTCTAAGGTCAGGGACTAGGAATTAGGACTTAGAACTTTTTTTTTTTTTTTGGTTTTTCAAGACAGTGTTTCTCTGTGTAGCCCTGGCTGTCCAGGAACTCACTCTAGACCAGGCTGGCCTTGAACTCAGAAATCCACCTGCCTCTGCCTCCCAAGTGCTGGGATTAAAGGCGTGCGCCACCACCGCCCAGCAGGACTTAGAACTTTTGGCCTCCTGAGCTAGGAGCTTTTCTGTTTGTCTGAAGTTGGGAGATCCATTGGCCTTTTACATGTGCCATCTCACAGTTGATGGCACAGGTGATGGTGCCTTTCAGACCAGTTCCCTTGTCTGCCTTACACTGCTGGCTGAGCTGGCCAGATCTTTTCTGGGAAAACTTCTTGGAACCTCCAATCTCATGTTTGTTCAAGTCAATAAAACCAATAAAATGTATAGTTAAATATAATATAAACAGTAATTGAGCCGGGCGGTGGTAGCGCACGCCTTTAATCCCAGCACTTAGGAGGCAGAGGTAGGCGGATTTCGGAGTTCAAGGCCAGCCTGGTCTACAGAGTGAGTTCCAGGACAGCCAGGGCTACACAGAGAAACCCTGTCTTGAAAAACAACAAAAAAAAAACAGTAATTGAATTTTTTATGGGGAGTAGGTGGGTAGATAGGTCTCATGTAGTACAAGCTGGCCTCAAACTATCTAGGCAAGGGATGACCTTGTCTTTATCTCCTAAGTGCTGGGATTACATATATGCACCACCACCACACCTGACATCAGAATTTTATAAATAAATTCACAAGTCAAAATAACAAAGTTATCATCACAATCCAAATTTGGATTTCAAATGAAAATTTCTGAGATCTGGAGTCATGTTTTTTCCTAGCTTTGAAAACAAAAGCCAGGATAGATGAGCGAAAATACACACACCATGCTTGACAAACTGAGCTCGATTTTCAAGACCAACATGATAGAAAGAGAAAATGCCCATCAGTTGTTCTCTCCCCTCTACATGGGGGCTGAAGCATGTGCCTTTACACGCAGACAGACAGACAGTCACACAATACATAAATATAAACAAACCATATCGCTTGCTGTGGTAGAGACCAAAGAGCCCAGAGGTGTGGCAACAAATGTTATAAGAACACGGTAGGACAGATCACACTGAACCATAAATTTTCTCAACAGTTGACTGAAGATGCCATGTCCAAATGTTAGTTTGAATTGCAGCCCTATCTAGAATCAGAACCAGTCTTTTTTCCTTGGGGTCTTCAAAGAATTGTGCCAGTAAATTCCCAGGGAATTCTTAGTGCCCCATCCATTTCAAAGCCAGTTTCCTGCCATGTATAAAGTACACGGCAGTCTGGGGGTGGGGGGAGGGAGCATCGGTTCTCTAACAAGCTCAGTCCCAAGCTCGCCCACCTGAGGAAATGTGCCTTCTCACTTGGCACTTCTACACTGTGACTTAGGTCTCCAACCCTCCACTTGCCCTGCCTATGGTTCTGTCAAGGAGACATCTCCATAGATGTCTCCATATGCCTGTTTAAAATGGCTTTTCACTTTTTTTTCCAACTGTGTCTTAATGTCAATGTAACTTTCCCTAGCACACAGCTTTGAGGCCTCTTAGTTCATCTGTCTTTTGCCATTATTGGGCCCTGCTGCTTCTGTTCTAATTCTTAGACTTCTTTCCTTTGCAGACTCTGGTACAGGTCAGCTCATGTGTCGATGACTATAAGCTCATTTCCCTGTCCAGGTGTGCAGTGTAGTTCCTTTTGTTCCCAGTTTTCTTAGAAGCAACCATAGCTGCTACCATATGCCTCATTTAATTTAACATCCTTGTTTTCAAAACACTTCCCACATGTCTTCACCAAATTTGGTGGGTGAAGAGCGTAGCCCTTTGTATGCCAGCTAAGTACAGACGTTTTGTTGTCTGCCCAGGAGCTGTGTTTCTGAGCATGGCTGTCAGTCTCATTTTTGGGATGCTGTTTTGTCAAGCCACATACTATTTGTTCTTCAAAGTTGTTTCTCAACTGAACATTCTTTGTTTAATTACTTATGACCTACCACAGTAGCTCTCCAAACAGCTTGGATGTTTATAATGTGCACATACTTTTTTATGTTGTATTTGCTATCTTGTTTCCTGTGTTGAGTTTCAAGTCAATCAACCAAGAATTACTTAGTACTCAGGCTGCATATTTTCAGTTAATTCTCTGAAGAAGTAACATAGAATATATAGCCTTCACCTCAAGGATTTCATTGCAAAATTCTGTGTCAAGAAGTGGAGTTGGAGGATGTCAATTAAATACTAAAATCTGCCTACAGCTGAGAATCGTAGCTTGCCTATAATCCAGCACTTGGGAAGTTGAAGCAAAAGAATCCTAAGCTCAAAGGCAGTCTAGGCTGTAGAACAAGACTCTGCCACAAAAAAAAAAAAAAAAAAAAAAGAATAAAAAGAAATTATAAATCTGCCTTGAATCCTCCAGGAATGACCTATAGAAAAGGCTCTTTGCGGTCAAGGATGGAGACACAATGCTAATGAAGAAATTACAAGCTATGATCTAGGAAACTCTGACAAAATAAAAAACCCACCACCAACAACAATAAAAAATCTTCACCCAGATTTAACATGGGAGACTAGGTATATTGGAGCCTGAAAGACAGACACGTGGGGATTAACTGTCACTTAAGGAATAACCCACTCATCACCAGCTTCACCCCCTGTGACACAGTCTCATTAGGTAGCCAAGATTGCTTCAGCCTACCAAGCTAGGGTTATAGGTGTGTGCCAGCACACCTAGTTGGATAAGCCATTCCTAAACGAGGTTTTTAAAGTTTTCTCATCAGAAAAATGGGAACATCATCCATCCCACACGACCTGGTTAGATAAGTGAGACTATTTGTGATGTTCTCTTATCTCTATTAAATGCTATCTAAATATGAAGCATTATTATTACTGATTTAATATTTTAAAGCCCAGTGCATATAATTAATTATTTCTAAGTTAGACAGAATCTCAGAGGGGGTTTGGAATATAAATAGAGCCGGGTTTCCTATAGGAATGGGAACATCTAATTAGCTGATCCAGGCTTCCTCTGCAGCTTCTCTAACTGGCAGTCAGATTTATAGACACTGGATCTGTAAACCCAGTGCACATCAGGGCCATTCCAAAAGCCAGGTTGCAAACTGAATAGCAAAAAAATGCTTACAAAAATAGGTACAGCCGGACAACAAAGCCCTTCGCTCCACCTTACGGGCCTCCATGTTTTGACAAGATTCCTATGGCTCAGAACACATCAACAGTACTAATTTGTGGTATATATTTCTAGAGTAATACTACAAAAGTCTCTCGTACCACAGTCTAGATTCCTGCCAGCTTTCTCCAATTTGCCCCCATTCTCCACCCCTTGCAAGTCCACATTTTGGTCATAAACTTCTGACCCAGAATCTCTTATCAAGTAAGACCCGAGGGTACTTACTAGTTGAGCAATTGTGCACTGCTAGGAAGGGTAGGCCGTAGGTTTACACTAGGAGCTGTTTCAGCTCTGCTTTCCTTTGGAAGAACTGGAATCTTGATATTACTATTGTGAAGCCAGGAAGTTCGGCCCACAGAAGCAATGGATAGTGCTCTTCATTCTACAGTGCTACCATTTAAATTCTAAAGACATTTCCTCCTACTGCCAACAAGAAGTGACATTGTCCTTGATGGAAGTTCCATGTCTGTGTTTGGCACTGCTTTAGCTAGTGTTTTGTCCTTGGAAATATCCCTGGCTCCTAACATGTGCTGAAGCTACAATCCCCAGGACTTCTTTCTATGGCTGGCCATACACAGTACTGCTCTGAAGTTATGCCGCGGGAACAACAAGGTCGCAGGAGAGGCTCCAGAGTCTTCTGCTATGGACTAGTTTTATTGATTCGCCCCTTGTATGTCTTCAAGCTCTTTCCCCCCAGCAAATCCCCAAACAACCAAACATCTGCTGCAGGGGCTCCCAGACTGGCTTACCTCTGACAGGGCCCAGCACCCGATGGCTGACCTTTTGGGTGCTAGAGCTCAGGCCTGGCAGCCCCGCAGGCCGACTGCCATGAAAAGGAAAGCTGGGAGAGTTCTTCATCTGTGGAGAATTTTGTTGGCTGCTGCCACTACCACCAGTACTGGTGCCAGTGCTAAAACTTCGAGCCCGGCTCAAGGCATTTTCAGAGCAGGAAGCAGGCAATCCACTACAAAAAAGCAGATGCTAGTTAACCCTAGGTCTGGGGAAAAGTTTCCCCAGGATATGACAATTAAAATTCACTTCTGGGGTAAAAGGGCATAGGAATCCATTCCTGGGAACGAGGGAAGGAAAGTGTGCCATGGATGAGGATCTGACTCGGAGCATACCAGCCAGTCTTGGAAGGGTCATCCTAAGTAGCTTGACTTCACAAAGAATGTCTCCCTTATTTTGTTGGTGCTGGCCCTTGAACCCTCTTCACTTAAGTCATTTACAACCTTTGGACCCTGAGACCTGCTACACCCTTGCGACAAAGACAGTGGGTTGTGGGTTCTGATCTAGGAGTCCCTGTGGCCTGACTTCAGCTCCCTAGCTGTGGCTCTAAGACAGGAAGAGGATCCCACTCTCAGAAGCTGAGGTAATCGTACCAGTTTCCGTGTACCCAGGACATTCCCCATGCAGCCTTTCCCAAGCTCACTGCTAACTGGCCATCTTCCCTGCGTTCTCCTTTCCTCTCCTTACTTGTTACTTTTGGGAGGGGTCCGAGAGCCTCGCTTCTTGCTTGCACCCACATTGACAGCACTGGTCAGACCTCTGCTGTTGCGCACATGCTTCAGCATCCAGGCTCGCAGGTTCGTGAGGCTGCTGTGCTCTGACAGCACAATTCGGGGCCATGGATTACATTCCGCCATATCCAGAGCTGCGATGGCCATAGCTCGTCCCACCTGTGTGGAGTTCAGTTTGGTTCACTATCTTATCCTCTAACCCAGCTGCTGTTTGGGGGTCTGGTACATAGCACAAGAGGAGAGAAGAGGCTAGACCTAACAGTGGATACTCTGAATTTTGTGCCCAGGTTCTTTATCTCAAGTAGATTTACAACTCGCTGTTTGCAACAGGGGCTGGTATGCACGGAACCATGAATTTCCCAGAAGAAAGAGTTTGTGCTGTTTACAACCTACAGTTCTATTCCTCTTATGTGCCTAGAGAAAGACACATCAAGACTACAATAATGGGGTGCTTTTGAACCTAGGAGTGACTAAACCCATGAAGGAGAACAGCTCAGACCACGTAGTTACTTAGATGTGTCAGGGTAAAGTCTGTGATTGGGGTCAGAAATTATGCCTGTGTTCACCTATTATGACAGCTAACCCTGTAGAGGATCTCAGCATTGGGTACCAACTCTTCCCAGATTGGGGGTTTCCCCTTTCCCACTTACTCTTATGGATTCATACCTGCTCAAATAGTTCCACAGTGTATCTGGAGGGAAAAGCCGGAGGGGGAGGGGGGCTAGCACGCCCGTTGTCATGGCAGGCGGCAGGGATGCTGTTGACTGAGCGTCCAGTGTTGTAGTTGCATTCAAGTGTGTAGCTAAAACAGAGATCTTATCAGTATCTTGCCTGAACAGGTGCTACAACAGAACACTGAAGGACACTGACATGGTCTAAGATGGTAATCACTTTGAAACAAGTAAAGACTAAGAGAAAATGCTAAATAATTCCCAAGTAACAACTGACCATGTGCCCAGGAAGTCCTCCAAAAATAAGACTCCCAGATCAATGCCAACCTTGCTAACTGAGGCTTTCTTTTGAGAAGACTTGGGTGGTTCCAGCCCCTCAAACACCCTGAAATAAGTTTTTTTTTTTTTCCTTTAAACAATTATCTTCTCAACTATGCCAGTTTCCTTCAAACCTGTGGATTATCCCTGAGGCTTTGTAGATTGCGACACGGCCGCTTCCCTCTTTGGACTGGCCATCTCTACGGTCTCGGGCATACATGTTCTTCTCTGAGAAATTGCATCCCTGGAAGTCAAAGTGGGCTGAATTCAAGGAGATGAGCTTTGGATACAGCATGTTTTCCACCTGTGAGGGGGAAGAAAAAGTAACTCAGAACATGACAGGGAAGAAGGGACCAGGGCAAGGAAAATAAGGCAGACAGTCACGTGACTCTGCTGAATACACCATCACAACCATCAGCAGTAAGCAAGGTTTCGTCAAGCCTCACTATTGGACACTATTTCTTTTAAGCTCTTAGATTTCCCCTTCCAAATTTTCCTTCTTCTCTGGTTCTCAAAGCTCTACGGAGACTGGAGTGCTGGGCCTTGCTCTTCACCCAGACACCGTGATACAATGGCTAAGAGACAGATACATGGCCTAGTGCTGTCTCTCCATCCTTTGAAGCTTGGGCAGAGGTGGTGTGCATAGGCCTTCCTGCTCCTCTAGAAGGCTCCCCTCCCCTTGTTTGTAACTACCCCTTATCTCCTAACCTACAGTATTTACTGCCACACAGTGTTTAGAGTCCTACCTGGGTGCTCTCATCGCTAAAGCTGTTTCCATACATGAAGCAGCCCCTTTTAGAAGCATGTCCATGCAAATCTACATAGTAAGCAACACCACTCTCTTTTGGGGGGATGGTGTCAGGGGCTGGTTCCTCAAGTTCAGGAACTGGTTGTGGCATAATCCACACTGGGTCAGTCTTCTCTTCTGCTGGCTCTGTCTCAGTCCAAGTCTCAGGGTTTTCCCCCTCAGGTGACTGCCCAAGGTGAGCTTCATTGTGGAGATTATTGGCTTTCTCGAGGTCAGAAAGAGGAGCTTCAGGAGGAAGATGAAGAGTGGGCTGCTGGTTTGAGGAATTTTTGGAGTTGAGACGTGAGTGCACATGATGGTAAAGCAACACAGCTTTGGCGCCATAGATGGCTGGGTGCAGGACGGCATCAGGCTTCAAGTACTGACGGTTCAGATTCACTCCACGGGAGTCCGTGCTGTAGGAAGACAGGACTCAACAGGCTCCAGATGTCTGGGCCACCAAAGGAGACACTAGGTGACAAGGACACTGGAAGACTTGTAAAGTGAAAGGCTTAAATTATGCTGGGAAAAACGGACAGAAGCCTTCCTTCATGTGCTGTCAGGCCACCACAGAATCCAAGGACAGTCCCTTGACCCAACTAGTCTTCACCTACTTTTGCTCCCACCCAGGATGTGTTTACACGAATTACATCCTCTCTCAGATCACTGGAAGATTAGAGGGGTTTGCCCTGGTTAGAGTACAAAAGGACTGTAAATACAAACCAGCCAGAAGGCTGGCTGACTTTCACAGCCAAGAGAGACATGAGACTGGGGAAAAGGCAGAAAGGCTGTTTTGGCTACTTACCGGTAGTGGCCCCGGACCACACCATCAGGGTTTAACATGGGAATCAACTTAAAAACAAAGAGTCGACGAAGAGTTTGTGCCCGGGGATCATCAGGTCGAAGGATGAAGTCCAGAAAGCCATTGAAGACAAAGCTAGACGGAGTCTCTCCAGGGTGTACCCTACTGCTTAAGAAGAATATCTGAGGTGGAGAAGAAAGCGGATAGGTCAGTGGTGCTAGTGGTGCTATAGTTCACCAGAGAGACAGGATTGTAATCCTCTGCCCCAGGCTACAGGCTAAGCTGGGTCCAGAATGTGTAGAGGTAACAGCTTTAAGTTAGCCACAGTGGCTGGAGATAGGATAAGGTTAGAGTACTGTCTTACTTGTGTGTATGTCAATGTGTCTGTATGTGGGTGCCTGTGGAGGCCACGAGAAGTCATTTTATCTCCTGGAGCAGGAGTTATAGGCAACTGCCTGGGGTGGGTGCTGGGAACCACACCAGGATCCTTTGTAACAGAGTATTAAAACTGAGCCGTCTCTTCCACCGAGAGCACTGCTTTTATGTTCTTCCCACTTACCCTTTTGCCTGTGAAACGGAATGGACGGGGAGTGCTGAGATCAGGAAATAGCTGCTCTAGACGGGGCTCCCGATCATCTCGAAGCCCGTGGCAGGAAGTGACTGTTAGTAGATCTACCCGAAGTCCATCCAGAGAATAGCAGAGAAGCTCTCGGTGGTAATAAATGCTATCCAGAGGACTACAGGGATAAAATCAATAGTCAGAAGTCCCTAAAGTCCTAGCAAGAGGCACGCAGCATTGCCAGCTCAGAATTTATGTTATCTGGTCCCTCGCCATAACTTTTGGGGCCTCATAGTCCCTTGAACTGGTGAGGCTAAGGATACTCGTGGGCTTGCACTAGAAGCAAAATATGGGACTGAAGTTTTTAGCCTATGTGTGTGTGTTCTTACATGAGCACACGTGCATGTGCACATGTCATAACACATGTGGAGGTCAGAGACCAGCTTGTAGAACTTGGTTCTCTCTTCCTGTCATGTTGGTTCTGGGGACAGGTTCCTATCGTCGGGTTTGGCAGCAAGCCCCCTTCTTTATGCACTGAGCCATCTTGCTGTCACTCCTCCACCCCTATTATTTAAGGGTGAATTTTTTGTTTGCTTTCCTAGTTTGTGGTACATCACGATAGATTAATTTGTGTACACAGAGAGTTGCCCTCAATAGAGGAAGACAAAGACGACATGCAGCGCAGCCACAGTACTGGCTAATTCAGGAGAGCTGAACAGAACGGGAGCAGGAGGCATGCACTGGGCAGGTGGGAGAAGAAGGTGAAGTGGTGAGGTGCTCATTACGGTGGCAAAAGAACGCCTTTGTCAAAACGCTACACTCTACACACGGACAGGACTAGTGAAGTTCTGGCTAAGAGCTCTTTTGACAAATGCTGGAAGCAGCAGAGGTGCCATAGAATCCACAGTACAGCAGGGGGGAGAGTGGGGTTAGCACCTGCTATGGGTAGAGTAATTCTCTGGAAAGCGCTGGTCTAGCTGGCTTAGCAAATCCTGGCAGTCACTGTAGGAGAAGGGGTAGCAGAAGGCGAAGAAGGTGGTGGCTCCCCGGCCCTCTACGAAACGGTGAACAAAGGAGAGCACAAACTGTGTCTCTGTCATCTGGGGAGCAGAGGAGGAAGAGGGGGGGAAACATGTCATCTGTGTCAGCACTGAGCTCCTCCTGTGGGGACACCGGGAACTGACTTCATGCCTCTCTCACCTTTACCAACTCCCTCCCTCTGACACTGTCCACATGAGAGCCAGCTTCTTCAGGCTTGCTGAAGCAGGGGCTCATCCTGGACCCCAGCTAGGTGTGGAAGAAAGAAGATACTAAAATGCAGGGGTTACACCTGCCTGGTCCTCTCTCTCAGGAACGTGTTTCCTCTACCAACACCCAGTCTTTCTTCCTACTGAAGAACTTACCTCAAAAGTGGGCCGGTCTCTAATGCGTTCCCAGCGTGGCCGGGAAGGCAGTGTGCGCACAAAGGGGGCCATGCCCTGAGAATATAGTTTGCTTTGCTTGTTCATGTTCATAATGTTGATCTTGATAAGCTTTCCTGGAGTCCCTCCCCGGACACTGAAGTAGAACCATGACCTGAGAGCCAAAAGAGAGACCAGCTGTTAGATGTGGGAGGGTCAGAGATCGGATGTTGGGGCAAGCTGAGTCAAATCAAGTCCTAACAGTAAAGGGCTATTTAGTAAGGAGGAAAGGGAGGAGGGGCTAGAAGAGATATGGTGCTGGTGTGTGCAGAATCAGAGAACTGACTACACTGTGCATCCAGGCACTTGGGCATTCCTACCCCACCCCAACCCAGGAGTCCTCATACCTGTTCCCGTTCTCATATTCTGTTTCAGCACAGTCTGGCCGGGTCCACACGTTGAACTCGTAGTCAGGGGAAGAAGCAGAACCACTAGTGGGGGCTGTTGCCACCCCTCCTACGCTTTCCCCATCACTAGGCACAGTCTCCACCTTTTCCACATGGGCTAGGTTCCCTGAATCAAAGCGAGAACTGAACAGCAATCCCCCACAGCGCAGCTCCATGGCGGGGCTGGGAAAGCATCCTCTTGCCCCACACAGGCCCTGAGAGCTGGGGGAAAAAAATGAAAGTTGGGATAGGGAGGAGGGTCAGAAAATGAAACAATGTTTTTGGTATCTCTGGATAAATGAGAACTGTTTTTACTACTCTATGAAGCAAACGCTCTATTTCTTAGAAAAGATGGGGAGTAGCCTTTCAGCAAGATCAAGAGAAAGCACAACTTTGTCCCTGGACACCCAAGGAGTATGAGTGACCTAAAAACACCCTATTTTACTACATCGCCACTGTTCCCAAATCGAATATTCAATGGCTTCCTTGGTTGAGTTGGAAAACGCTAGATTCTCAAGCTTCTTAACAACCTAAGGAGCAGAGACTAGAGGTCAGATGGCTGCCACCGGCTCTATGAGAGAGGGGCCATGTTAAAATTTCCTAGATTGGCTTTGTACTGGGCAGAGCAGGAAGAACCAAGTTTCTAAGTATAAATGGTAGCTTCCTTTCTTTACCTCTTTGTCTTCACAAGCACTGGCTAGAATTACACTGTGGTTTCTCTGAGACCTTGAAGAGCGTTGTTACCACCCCCTTCCTCTACTACGCCTATTATGAAAACGTAGCCTATGCCCGGCCAAAGCCACTTGCTCACCTGCCCTGAACCTCAGTTCCAATTAGGGTCTGTTTCCATCCTCCCGCCCTGTAGACACGAGCCCGTGCAAAAGCTACCCTCGAAGGTGTGGGTAACGGGCGTCCTAAGCACCCCTAGGAAGGCTGGGCCAGTAGAGTCCCGCTTGGAAGCAGCAGGCAGCTCCTCGATTCGCGGGGACCCTCGCTCTGCCTGGCTTGTCCAGGGCAGGGTGGGGTTTGGAGGCGTGGGAGGGGTCGAGACAGATACACTGGAGGACGGGAAGGCTGGTCCTAGGGGTCAGAGGTGAGGCCACAGGAGCGGAGGTAGTCAACCAGAGTCGGGGGCGGCCGGCCGCGGCAGGCCGGGGGGCGGGGTGGCATTCGACGGGGGCTCCGGCGGAGCGGGCTGAGAAGGGGGCGGGGCCTGGCGGCGGGGCCGCAGTCCACGCAGAGCCCCTCACCTCTCTCCGGGCCGCTGCTCCCGCTCCCTCTCCCGCTAGTGAGGCGGCACCTCGGGCCCCGGCACCCGGGCCCTCCACCCGGGACCCACACAAAACCAGAGAGCCGCGGTGCCGGGACCCCACTCTACCAGGAAACAAGAAGTCTCCTGCCTATTGGCCGCAGCTGCAGCTGGCTACCCGCCCAGTAAAGCGCACTGCCATTGGTCGCCACGCAGGGTTCCGTGCACGTTGGCAGGTACCTGTGAGGGGGCCGTTTGGGGGCTTCCGCGGGCCACCGCCGTGTGCAGCTCAGGAGGTGTCTTCTCTGTAGGCGGTTAACGGCCCGCCTCCCCGAGGCGGGAAAGACAAAGCAGGGAGAGGGAAACAGGAAAAGACTTACCTGCGAATAAGAAAAAACAATGGGAAGCCGGTCTTTGCTTACCGCGCTCCTCGCTTTACTGTGTAACAAAACATGGACAACAGACCATAAACCTGATCGCGCCTAGCGTACGGAGTGCAAAATAAAGTGGAGGATGCGGGCATCGATCCCGCTACCTCTCGCATGCTAAGCGAGCGCTCTACCATTTGAGCTAATCCCCCAGCCGTAAGAACCTACCTTCCTGTAACCTTTACAAGGTTTCCTAAGATGAAGGTTTCTAATGTAATTCGGAGTATAAAGTACGGTGGAACCCTCAACAAGGTTTTGAAACTAAGCCATGTAATAAACACATAAACAATAAGGACTTTTCTTGAAATACGTGTCACTATATCTTTACACCTAGTGCGCGAACAAGGCACATTATACCATCCGACTACTTAACTGCCTACGTGTTTTACCCAAGGTCCGCAGCAGTCAGGCAAATATACCGCTTATCCTCTAGTAAGCGTTTTCCCCCTACAAGTACAATTTGAGGTAAAAATTATGTACGAAGTCCTTCGAGCCGGAATCGAACCAGCGACCTAAGGATTGCCATCTCATACCAACTACAGTCCTCCGCTCTACCAACTGAGCTATCGAAGGCTCCGCTGCTCTAGTGTGTTGCGATTTTCCCTCTAATGCTTACCAGGATATTTTTTTTTCCTAATTCCTGTGTTTCTTTGCAAGCTAAAGGAGCCCGGGCCAAAAGGAAAGGAGGGTTTGCGGGCTCGCACCCTGCAACAGGAGCTCGCCGCGAGGCGGAGTGAAGCTAAAGCTGGGGCGGCGTTCCTCCCGCTAAGCAGACATTAGTTTCGGTGTTTGGGACTACGAATCGTGCTTGCTGCTTCTGCTCCAGGTTTCCTTTGGTTTTCGGCGTGATGAAAGTATAAAGCATGTTGTTCTGATGAGGCGAAAGACATTTGCTCCGTCAGCTGAAGTGCCGAGGTCCATTCACCGAGGCCCGGGCCAGAAGGGAAGACTGAGCCGCGGGACCGAGCGACCGCTGTACCCTGGACGCTGGTATGCGGCGGGGTCCCGGATTCCTGCTCCCGATGCCCTCTGGCTGGGTGCAGTCCCCCGACCTGCCTGATCCTGCAATGCCCAGCTCTTATAAAACAATCTCGCTTTTATGGTCGAAGTCTGGAAAAGATTTCCGCCCGACCTGGGCTCCGCTGCCAACCAAGTGTCTTTTCTGGGACGATGTGTTGACCCCTTATCTGGCTCACGTGTTTGTTGCTCTTCCTCACAGGGCCAGCCCACTATTGGCTCACAGAAAGCTAACACATTTTTTTTAAACAAAGAAACAAGCTCAACACCCAGGTCCTCTGTGCAGCCTGCTCTGACTGGCGGAGTGGGTGGGTCCAGAAACCCGGCCTCCAGTCGCAGTTCTGAAACACCCAGCCAGGTAGAGAGGTGGTTTGAAATCTTGCTTTGATTTCATTCTAATGGGGGGGGGGGGGCATGTTGCTACCGTGCCCTTAGCATTTTAAGCAATTCATATTTCTCTTTCTCTCCTCCTCTCCTTCATTTCCCCATTACAACCCCCAACCCCGCTATCTGTCTCTCCCTTGTTTTATTTTGTGAAGCCTTTAAAATTTGAGGTTCATATAACGTACTTTTATCTCTTTGTTTCTCAAGTCTACAGCACCAAGTGTTTCCCAAGGGAGTCTTCACCTAAGTGCTAACGTTACAGACCCTACACTGTTTCGATCAGAGAGAGTCAAGGTGAGCGATTCAGTGATCTTTAGTACAATCATAATGCTGTACAAATGTCACCTCTCCATTAGAGAGTTGCTTTGTTTGGTTTTAACGTTCAGGCTGGAGCCTGGGACCAATCTTGCCTCCGACTCGAAGAGATTCGCCTGTTTCTGCATCCAGAATGCTGAGATCAAAGCATCCGCCAGCACATCCGATCAAAACTTTTTTTTTGAAGTCACTAGAAAAAACATTCATTGCCTTTCAAGTAATCGCTCCCAGCTTTGCTTCCCCTCATTCTCTGACAACTACTTGCTAACTGGCTTCCAGTCTCTTTTCTTTTAAGAATGTATCTAGGAATGGGATTGTAACATTGCATACTTAATTTTTTAGGAATGGCCAAGCTACATCACAGTGGCAACATTTTAAAAAGTTTTTATTAGCATATATGAATTGTAAATAATGGGTTTTATTAACATTTTTAGAGTCTATTTTGATCACGTGCATTCTTTGTTACAACTCCTGATAATCTTTCCTCTTCCTGAGCAGTCCCTGCCCTCCTTTTCTCCTTCTTTTTGTATGTTCAAGCATGGGTTAGGGCTGGATGCAACCTTTTTAGACTCTCACTAGCAGTGTGCGTAGATTCCAATTTCTCCACAGCCTTATTTGCTTTGCATATTATAACCAGTACTTTAATAAATTGAACTCACTCAGTAGCATTTCCTGATGCCATCAGAGACATTTTAAAATTATTGGTTGAATACCGTTTTCCATCTTTTGATTTTGCAACTATTCCTCTTGTTGTAGGAGAGTTTATATTTAAATTTTCAGTATATATACTGTTACAATTATTATCATTCTAGTTTTATTGTTGTTTTGAGACAAGATGTTATGTATCAGGCTGTTCCTGACCCAAGTGCTAGGGACCACAGACCTGTACTACCACCCTTGCCTCTTCCTGTCTGTGTTTATGACAGTATCTCACTATTTAGACTAGACTGGACCTCCGTATGTAAACCAGTCTGACCTTTAAGCTTTGGAGATCTCCTGTGATCTGCCTGTTGTGCTGGGGTTAAAGGTGTGAGCCACCAAGCCCAGAATGCACATTCTTAGGACTCTTTGCCCATATTTCTGCTTACTCATCTATCCAGACAGGAATATACTTGTTTGGTCAAAAAGTGTGAGAGTTTTCTACCATTTGATAAAAGTTTCTAATTTATTTCCCATAATATACAGATTCTATCATAGCAATTCATTGATTTAAGAATCCTTCAGAGCCACTGAGATGGCTCAGCAGTAAAGACACTTTTGGCCAAGCCTGATAGGCTGGAGTCTGATTCCCTGGGACCACTAGACCTGCAGATTGAGAGAACCAACTCCTTCAAGTTGTCCTCTGACCTCTACAAGAACATCAGCACATGTACAGGAACACACATGCACACCCATACACACATAACACTAAATAAATGCAATACTAAATATAAAGAGAGAAAGACTTTTTATTAATGATGGGTCCCTTAGTTAGGGTTTTACTGCTGTAAGCAGACACCATGACCAAGACAAATGTTGTCTTATAAGGACAACATTTAATTGGGGCTGGCTTACAGGTTCAGAGGTTCAGTCCATTATCATCAAAACAAGAACATGGCAGCATCCAGGCAGGTATGGTTCAGGAGTTGCTGAGAGTCCTGTATCTTCATCTGAAGGCTTCTAGTAGGATACTCACTTCCAGGCAGCTAGGGTGAGGGTCTTATAGCCCACACCCACAGTGACATACATACTCCAACAAGATGACACCTACTTCAACAGGGCCACACCTTCTAATAGTGCCACTCCCGGGGCTGAGCATATACAAACCTTCATATTCCACTCCCTGGCCCCCATAATGGGCAAAATAAGTTGCATTTTATTTTACATTTTTTACTTCATTGGTGAAATGAATCTTTTTACCAACATGCTGTTCATTTGCAGAGTTGCTTATGAATTATGTCTCTTACAAGCACACAATTTTGTGTTTAGTGTTTTTTTGATTTAGAGTAGATTTTAACATGAAAGATATATCTGTTACATATTTGCTGCAAATATTTTTCTCCAGGTTTCTTTCTCTCTCTCTCTCTCTCTCTCTCTCTTTCTCTTTCTCTCTTTCTCTCTCTGTTTTGGTAGTGGTACTTTATTATATTGACACATCTTAAAATTCTGTGCACAAACATTTATTACCCATTTCTCTGGGATCTTTCTTTGTTGCTTTGATAGTTAGCATATTGTTATGCAAACAAATATGCAAATTAAAATTTAATATTCACCTATCTTCTTTTTAATGTTGTCCTATTTTAGTTTAATCTATTTGAAATATGATTAGTATGGGTTATAAATTTTAAAACAAAAGCATTGGGACTGTCAGGAGGGCTCAGCAGGTAAGGGCACCAGCTGCCAGGCTGACGATGGGAGGCTGAGACTGGAGTCCACACGGTGGAGGGAGAGAAGATCGCCCGCTCATCTATCTCTACCCCCCCCACACACACACACTGATGCTGCAGCACATGTACACAGTAAATGTAATTTTTAAAGAGAAGCATATCAAGTAAAAGAATTAAAAATAAGTACTACAAATAATTATATAACAAAATTAGGTAATCTAAATACATCCTGCCAATTCCTAGAAACACACAAATTACCTAGATTGACTCAAAAAGATATGAAAGAGAAGAAGAAGGGAGGTGGTGCTGTTCGTCTGTAATTCCAGCACTGGGGAGGCAGAGGCAGGCAGATCTCTGTGAGGTGGAGGCCAGCCTGGTCTACAAAGTAAGTTCCAGAACAGCTGGGGCTACATGTAGATACCCTGTCATACAAAACAAACAAACAAAAAGCCAATAACTAAAAAGAAGAAAGAGGAGGAAGAGGAGGAGAAGGAGGAAGAAAAGGTGGAAGAGAAGGGAGGAACTCTTATTTACTGTGTGAAAGTCAGTATTCGATGACCTGGGTTCAAGCCCCAGAACCTCACAGTGGAAGGAACCAACTCCTTCAGCTTGGCCTCACCCCATGCACACCCCATCCCAATAGTAAAGAAATTGAACACCTT